CCAGAGCCAAGAGAAACCTGTAAGGCACTTAAGCTACGTAAGACATGAGGTTGTTATGAGTTGTAATGGGATGGCTGGTAATCAGTTTCATTTTGGTTTGAACATTTATTCAACTCTGTAGCCCTGGGAAACAATTGACTCAAGGGATGAGAACATCAATGGTTTGAAATTAGGGTGAGAATAATAAAGATCTTTGCGGACTTTTTACAAAGGGAAATGATCAGATAAGGATTATAAATGTTCAGCTAGCTTGCTTAGGGTGTCAAATTTCTTTATAGGGTTATGCAAGCAGGAGCAATAACTATAAATTATTGCCTAATTTGGGAGGGTCTGGAAAGGATTATGCTGAGTGGATTAACTCACTCCCTTAAGGACAAATACTGTATAAAACCATTATTGTAGCATGAGAATGCTGAGTGGATTAACTCACTCCCTTAAGGACAAATACTGTATAAAACCATTATTGTAGCATGAGAATGAAGATCCAAGGAAGGGTGTGGAAGGAGATGGGTAAGGGGGGATTAATCATGGGGTTGCACAATTTGATGAGTGTGGAGGTTTAATGGGAAGGAACTGGTATGAGAAATAATATATTTAAATTTTGTAAATAAACTGGCATAATAATTAAAAAAAGGAAAAAAATGAGAAACAGAGAAGTCAATCATGAAGTGGCTTAATCATGCGGGCAAAAGCCTGGGCCAGAGCTAATGCAGAGGCAAATGGGTTAGAGAGAAAAACTAGCGGACAAAGTGAAAAAGAACTGAGATAAATTAGCAGATCTTGATTTTAAAGCACAAACAAATCTGAATTCTTGAGTATTTTGCAGCGGGTGGATTTTAAGGGCTCTATGGCTATTGGTTGTTTTTGGCCACTACATCAGAAGTAATTGGAAGACATTCGTGGATGGCAGATATGGCCCAGTGAAATAATATGTTTAAAATAATCTTGGGGGGAAAAAAGTAAATTTGGGTTAGTGGTAATGATTTTGTTGCGCTTCCTCCCCACCTCCCACGCCCTAATCAGCTGCAACGCCTCCTGCATACGCCATGGGGCGCCTCTTGGCTCCACCTGGAACGCCTTGCTCGCTCCCACCGCATATAAGAGCCCGGCCTCCTCCTAGGTGACAGCACAAAGCGCCAAGACTCCTCCCCTTCGGCGGCACCGCGTGTGTCGCCGCGCCCGGCGGCCGCCGGGCTCAGTCTCTCGCCGGCCGATCTGGGCAGAGGAGGAGGAAGGTTGGCAGAAACTGGAGGCTTAGCGATGGGAAGTTGCTCCTTTGCTCTGTCTCGCCTAGCCTTCCTCCCTGGCTCTCCGCAGCCTCTGCCGGGGAAGAGCACCGGGTAGCACCGGTTGCAGCCGCGGCTGCCTCTCCCCGCTCGGGCTGCCGCGCGGCTGGGCAGGTGCTGAGAACCCCCGGAGCCTCCCGTCCCGCCTCCCTCCTCTGCCAGGCTGCCGCAGTGCCTATAGGATGTTGAAGGTAGATAGGGTCCGGGCCCGGGAAGCGGCGATGGATGCGGCGCTGAACAGAAGCTGCCGCCGATTCCAGCTGCCGGGTGGCCGCGCCTCCCCGGCGCCCCTGCGATCCGCCGGTTCAGCCATGGGGTCTTCTGCAAGCAGTAGCACCGCCTGCCTCGCCTCCTGCAGACGCCGGACTGTTGGAGTTGGAGCCACGATGATCGTCAGCTGCCTTCTGGTAAGTGCTCTGGGAGACCGGGGGCGGCGGCCGCGCCGGAGTCGAGCGAGCCGCTCTGCCTGCGCTAGGCGGCTCCTTGGGCCCGGGCTGCTGTAGGCGCAGGGCCGGGCGGGTGGGGATGCCGGGGCTTCACCAGCAGGCAATACAGCCCAGAGCTCCTGTGGGGTCATTCGGGGAGCGGCAGGGCCCGGTGGGGTTCCAGAATGAAGAGGGATTGTTTTCTCGGCAGCCTGGCTGCGCTCGGGGAGGCGCTATAGAGGTGGCCGCCTGGCTGTCTGCTCATATCAGGGCTTTCCCCCCTCGTTGGCCCACCTCGTGGTCCACCAGCTAGCGTGGTGCGAGGCCCGGGCTGCGGCCAGGGGAGCCCAGGGCTCCCCGCGGCCGCCACTTGGTTGTGGCTGCAGTGTCATTACGGGATGCTACCGCAGTGGAGAGCGGCACCGGGTGCGCGCTGGACGCCGGCATCTGCCGGGTGCATGGGCGCCGAGCATCATTCAGTTGCCTCCTCCTCCATTCCCCGTCCTCCATTCCCCCCTCTTGGCTCCGGTCGGTTCCAGTGTCTGCAGGCCAGAAACCTTCAGACCCGCTCCCCAGAGCCTCCAAAGGGCCGGCTTTCAAGCAGTTAGCGCGTTGGCAGCGAATGGGGGCTGTGGAGGGGAAAGGGGAAAAGAGCTACTGGGAAGGAAGACCAAATGCTCCTCCAGTCTGTCCCGTTTCTCACTTAACCTGCATCTGGGCAGGTTATCTTGCAAGATGATGCAGGTACCTTCAACATCCACGGTGCACTCTCTCTGTGGCGTGCCCTGGACCTGGTCCTCTGTCAATGCCTGAAATCACTCTTGGCCCAAAACTTATCCCCAACTTCCCCAAATACCTTCTGCTTTCTCTGTGAATGTTCTGTTGGTGATGGAGTAGGGGGGACGCGCGATTTAGGTGGAAGAACATTTATTTGAGATCTAAAAACCCTTGCACTACCTGGAGTTCCTGCCCATCTCTGGTCCCTGAAGCGGCAAGAGTGGAGATCGTTTGCTAAAAACAACAGAAACAAATAGACAGCCAGCCTTTTATGGTTGAGCTGGTGTAAGGGAAAAGCAGCCTTGCTGTCTCCTTCCCCCTGGAGACTCTGCCTCGCTCGCCAAGATTGGCTTAGAACCCAGGGCAATGCAGTTGCTATGGCTGAAATATTCACCCTACAGACCTCTGTGGGACTGTGTGTTTTAAGGCAAAGGGGGAGATTAAAAAAGTTTGTTGCTATTAGCATCTATAATGAGACAAGTCTCAGTCACCTGTCTGAGACCCTGATGCCCCGTTTTGTAAAGTGGTTAAGATCTGAATCCTTGAAAAAAAAGAGTGATGGGATTGTGAACCCGGATTAACAGTCGTTGTGGATTAACAGTCCTGCTGAGTCACAGAACACTGATCCTGATCATTTATCGATGAGTTCAATCCATTCCTGCGCTTCTGTGTCCCCAGTTCTTAGATCTGTTACCCTATCTCACTACACGTTTCTATATCCCTCTAACCTATCAGTTTAGTATGCTCCTTACAGAGGGCCCAAGCAGGATAACTTGAGTCCCTATGAAATAGCATCCTAAAAAAAGAAATAGCATCCTATACCTTTTAGCGTCAGATGTCGTTGTCAGATGCCATTGAGGTGGTTCAGGCTCGTGATGACCCCCATAAACAACAGGGTGAAATGCTGCCCAGGCTTGCGTCATCCTCATTGTTGTGTCTGGGTCCTCATTGCTCCATTGATAGTCATAGTGTCAGTTTATCTCACTGAGGGGCTTCCTCCTGTTCGCTGACCCTCTCCTTCACCAAGCATGACATCCCCTCCAGGAACCAGCGCTTCCTGATACATGTTCGAAGTCCATAAGTCAAAGTCTGAGTCTTACCATCTTCACTTCTAAGGAGCATTCTAGCTATATTTATTCCAAGACAGACTTACTCCTTTTTCTGACAACCCATGGTTTATTCAATATTCTGCACCAACGCCACAGTTCCAAGGCATCTGTTTTCCTTCGTTCTTCCTTATTCATTGTCCATTTTTCACATGCATATGAGGTGATTGAAAGTACAGGGGGCTGAGTCAGGGGTACTTAACTTTTCGAAATGACATCTTGGATTAAGATTTTATTTAAACATGTCTTCTGCATCACATTTGCCCATTGTAATATGTGGTTTGGTTTCCTGACTGCTGCTTCCAGGGATATTGAGAGAGGTGCTTTTAAAATAAGTGTTTCATAACATCAAAGAAGGTCCTGCTCCTTTTTGGAAAACATTAAAAGCCCGTTTATTAAAAGTTGTACACTAAATTTAAGACTGAAGACTTGAGAATTTAAGGTTATCTATCTATCTGAAGAGCAGTAGTGTCTCTCTGGAGACTAAGGTGTGTCTGATACAGGCCATGGTCTTCGCAATCACCTGTTATGCATCAGAGAGTTGGACAATGACCAAGGAGTATAGGAGGAGAATTGATGCCTTTGAGCTGTGGTGCTGGAGAAGAGTATTGAGAATACCATGGACTGCTAGGAAAACAAACAGATTTGTCCTGGAGAGGGTTAAACCGGGTGGTTCCTTGGAGGCAAGGATTCTGAGGCTCCGTCTAACTTACTTTGCTTACTTTGGACATGTTGTGAGGAGAGACCGGTCCTTAGAGAGGGACATCATGCTTGGGAGGGTGGAGGGACGGCACAGGAGAGGAAGGCCCTCTATGAGGTGGATTGATTCAGTGACTGGGATAATTGGGATGGGAGTGTCAGAGACAGTGCGATTGGCACAGGACAGAGCGGAGTTTAGGGCTGTTGTACATAGGGTCACTATGAGTCGCAGGCGACTCGACAGCACATAACAACAACAACAACATCTATCTATCTATATATCTATATCTATCTATAGATAGATATAGATATAGATGTAGATATAGATATAGATAGATATAGATATAGATTTTTTTTTCTTTCTCAAGGCAATTCTGATGACATAGTAAGTACATAGGGAGTTGTATGGCAGACTGTTGGCTTGGGTTGTTGTGGCGCATAGCTGAGAATTACCTGGGTGACTTTGAAAGAGTTTTTTTGCCTCTTCCAGTTCTGTTTCTGAGGACTTGAGGCGTCAGCACGATATTTGAAAGTAAAAGATGCTGGAAGACAAAAGAGTGTATTAGGCCAAACATCTAGAGACAAGATAAATGAGACCTTAAGGTTTGCACCAACGCTAGGGCATGTCCTAAAAGTGCTTGTCTACTGTGACACAACATAGCTGGAGGTGGCTTCTTGTGCTCAGGGAGCTGGTTCTAGACAGATGTAATCTTGGCAGTCAGTAGTCAGAAAGGAATGGAGCCATAATTGATAAGGAAATGAGTTCTGAATTTTGCAAATGACTCTTCTGTGTGTACTGTGTAAGGCCAGATAAAAGACCATTTGCAAATGGCTCTTCTGGGTGTACTATGTAATGCCAGACAGAGGACCATTTGCAAATGGCTGTACTGTGTGTACTATGCAAGGCCAGATAAAGGACCATTTGCTGTAAGAGCCAGCCTAGCTGTATGCTTGTCTAGAAAGTACTAAGTATTTGTGTTTGTCACTGCCATTTAGACTTGACATCTAGCTTAGTGCTGCCTTCTGACCTCTGCTCATAGTAATGAATCACCTAGTTTCTTAGCGCTTAATGTTAGTTGACTAGACAAGCATGGGTGAGTGGTGATGGCCACTGGGGGTCCTAGAGCATATCAAAGTTGGGCAAACTCAAATAGACCCTTGAATTATGCCTTGGAGATATTGCTCATTCAGTTCCAGACCACCACAATAGAGCAAGTCCCATAAATTTTTTGGATTCCTAGTACATACGACAGTTTGGTTTATACCATTTTGTTGTTTATTAAGTATATGGTAGCATTATGAAGAAGTTGGAGTATTGTAAGAATTACTAAAATATGACCAAGAGACATGAAATGAACACCTTCTGTTGGAAAACTGGTGCTGATAGAATTGCTTGATGAAAGGTTGCAGTGGACTTTTAATTTGGAAAAAACAGTATCTGTGAGTAACCTCAAACTCATTGCCACTCAGTCGGATCTGACTCATAGCTGAATCTCTAGTGGAGTTTTGGAGGCTGTAAATCACATAGGAGGAGATTTGCCATCTTTCTATAGTAGAGCAACAGATGAATTTGAACCCCTTGAGAAGCTAAGCCACATCTCCCAGAGGGCTGTATGACCAGGGTTCCCTCCAGTATCAGTGGAGCTCAGTAACGTGAAGTGTAATAAAATGAGGTATGACTTTAATAATACAAAAGGCTGGCTGCTTAGAGGGAAAGATTAGATTGGCAAAGTGATTTTTTGGATGTTAACAAAGGTCCTTTGAACATCCTTTCTAAGCCAGGAAATGTTCCAGGCAAAGGAAGTTCAGGGATGAGTTTGATGTGTATGCCTCTCAGCACTACCCTGAGGGCCCAAAGCTAGTAATAGACCTGGACTGTGAGATGCACATATGCCTGTGAGAGAATGAAAAATCAAAGTCATGGTGGGAGTCAGCTTAGTCCCCAAATCCAACTCCAGTTGGCATTAGCAAGAGGCTGGGCTGTGTGGTTGCTGCTGGGCACCTGGTATTCTTTAGGAATAAAGGTGAGACCATGAACAAATAATGGCCTTGCCCCAGTGTTTATATTTGTCAAATATTAAAAAAATCAACAGGAACCTTAATTGGAGCTTGGCTTGAGATTTAAACCCGGAGGAACCAGAAGCATATTAGTTGGAAGGTACAGGGCTCACTGACTTTTAGACTGTTATTTCAGAGTAAGAGATCCCAGTTCTCTTGAGGGGGATGTAGGGACCACTGGGAATAGATTATTCTCCCCAGTTCTGTAGCTATCTGAATATTTTTTTTTCCTTCCCAGGCAGTTTATCTATTTATTTTATTTTTATTTTTTTTTTACAGTTCTGGGAAAGTGACACAGGGACCTCAGGCAGGGGTGGGTGGAGCTGAGAAGGGTGTGGGCAAGTGTGCAGGGCCCTGAACTACAGCCCCATTTTTTTCTAGAATATTTTAAAAATCTTATCTTAAGGCTATATCCTAAAAGGGGAAGTGGAGAAGGTGGCTTTGTAAGCTAAGTCCTAACAGGATAGATCTTTATTTAGTTTTCATTTGCTTCATTTAATCCTCTGTGACTAACTTTATATTGAACATATACATGAGAGCAGCTGTGGATTCAATGAGTATATGGGACCAAGGAGGGAGACTTGGTGACACAGTGGTTAAGTGCTTGTCGGCTAACTGAAAGCTGAGCATTTTGAATCTGTCAGTCAGGCTTGGAATCTGTATGGAGCAGCTCACCTCTGTCCAATAAAGTCACTGTTGTTGATAGGTGCCATCAAGTCGAGTATGATCCATAGCAACCCTTTGAACAACAGATGGGAACCCTGTCCTATCCTGTGCCATCCTCACACTTCCTGACACACTAGAGCCCATTGCAACAGTCACCGTGCCAGTCCACCTGATTGAGGGCCTTGCTCTCCTTTGCCAACCCTCCAGACCCTCCACCTATCCCAGCATGACGTCCTTCTCCAAGGGAATAGCTCCTCCTAGTAACATGGCCGAAATATGGGAGATGTAGCTTTATCCTCTGCCTCCAAGGAACACTCTGAAAACCCTATGAACAGTAGAAGAACATGGATAGTTATAAGGTCTGGAAGTTGCTCTTGACCCAACTATTATTTCTCCCACCTAATTAAACCTCATGGAGTTGGAACAGCCTCATGGCTGATCCTCTAGCAGATTTTCAGAAGCTGTAAATTGTGTAGGAAGAGATTGCCCCTCTTTCTTCCCAGGCACACTGGCTGGAGGTGAACCTCCCGCCTTTGAGGTGGCAGCACAATTCCCTATCTACTGGGCCACCAGAGCTTCCCCATTTCCCCAGAGCAGTGATTAAGCACTTGGCTGCTTACCAAAAGGTTGACTGTTTAAGCCCACCAAGTATTTTCATGGAAGAAAGACCTAGAGGTCTACTTCTGTAAAGGTCACAGCTAAGAAAACCCTATGTGGCAGTTCTATTCTGTTCCTTGAGGGTCCAATGAATCAGAAGTTAACTTTATGATATATAACAACAGAGGAATACCAAAGAGAATCTTTGAGTTGTGCGAATAGTTACCATGTACACTGCTGAGAGGTTAAAAGTTGGAGTACACACAGAGGCGCCTTGGAAGAAAAGCCTGGTAATCTACTTCCAAAAACGGAGCTGTTGATGACTCCTTCTATTCTAACACAGATGGAACCCCCACAAGTTGGAATTAACTCATGGACAGTTGAAGATAACACCAAGGGCTTGGGTCGTGCAAATGGTTAGTGATCCTTGCTGCTAACTGAAAGCCTGTATGGCTGTAGCATCACCTTCATTTCATGGATAAACAAATGAAGCCTAAGATAGTTTGTGGTCACACAGGGGGCATCTGCTCTGGAGAAGATTCAAATCTAGGTCAGCGTGCCTTCACTTACATTGCTCTTCCTGCCAGATTGTGGGTAGGGAATGGGAGTCTTCTTTTACCAGAATTTTATTTCCTGTTAAGGGAATGCTTTTACCAGAGTTGAATGTTGTCTTTCCATCCAAGGAGCAGTTCTGCTCCCTTGATGGTGCTAAGAAGTTTAGCCAAAACTACTGGTTGTAAAGTCAGAGCAACCTGTGTGTGTGTGGCTTCAAAGGGGAGGGTGTGGAGTCATTGGCAAGCATCTTCCTATGGCGTGACTCTGATGGGCAATGGTGCCATGGTTAAGATGGAAAGATACTCCTGCAAATTGAAATGTTATAAATAGGGAATGGATGCTTTGCTTTCCTGCTACTTGGGTCATTTTGAAAAATATTTGCTTAGTGAGTAATAGTGTGACACAGGTTCTGCTTAGCAAAGGAGTTTCAACTCACTCCTCCTGACAACTTTAGGAGCTTTTAAGATTTCCTTTGATGCCAGTTTAATGATTTGTATAGAATCATTATCGTTGTTATTTTTCCTTTTGGAAATTTTAATTTTAGGTAACTTAGAAACTTTTATCAGAGTGCTGCTTGGAGGCAAAGATGACAAGGTTTCGTCTCTCATACTTTGGGCATGTTATTAGGAGAGGTTATTTCTTAATGTACCATGGACTGCCAAGAAAACAAACAGATTCATCCTGGAGAGGGTTAAACCAAGCTACTCCTTGGAGGCAAGGATTCTGGTGCTTCGTCTGACATACTTTGGGCATGTTGCAAGGAGGGACAGGTTCTTGGAGAGGGACATCATGCTTGGGAGGGTGGAGGGACGGCACAAGAGGGGAAGACTCTCTATGAGGTGGATTGATTCAGTGACTGGGGTAATCGGGATGGGTGTGTCAGAGGCAGTGCGATTGGCATAGGATAGAGCAGGGTTTAGGGCTGTTGTACATGGGGTCGCTATGAGTCGTAAACGACTCGATGGCACATAACAACAACAACATTTCTTAGAGAAGAACATCATGCTTAGAAAAGTAGAGAGGAAGACCCTCAACTAGATGGATTGACTTGGTGACTGCAGCAATGGGCTTGAGTGTGTCACAAGTGTGCAGATGGCACAGGATAGGACAAGGCTCAGATCTGTTGTTCATAGGATCACTGTGAGTTGTACTCAGTTCAATGACAAAATCAGGAGCTGTATTGCATTGGGAATGTGACTTTACAGATAGGAAAACCAAAAAGAAAGCCCCACAACAAACCACCAAACCCTGTCATAAAAAGATCAAGGTATTAAAGCACTGTTTCACAACTAGGAGGTTAGGTGATGTGAGGGGTTAAGTGCTTCGTCACTTACCAAAAGGTTGGCAGTTCAAACCTACACAGAGGTACCTTGGAAGAAAAGTTTGGCAGTCTGCAGCTAAGGGTCACAATCTCGCAAGCCCTGTGGAGCACAGTTCTACTCTGTGCATGTGGAAATATACAGTGGTGACTGGCTTGATGGGTTGAGTGCAAGGATGGAATCTGAGTATGTTTCTCTGTTGTGTAACAGCAGAAATGACAAAACGCGATACTGGTCAGATCTTCCATTTAAATGATGATGCTGGTGTTGGACTTGCTCATTTTTACTTGTTTGTGCCTGTATAACACATTTTTGGTTTTCTCCCCTTCCCCGTTTTCTTTCTTTCAGCTTGGGTTCCTCAGCATCACCACAGCTCAGCCAGGAACGAAGGTCCCAAATCTCGTTGGCACCTACCACCATGTTGACCGTGCCACTGGCCAGGTGCTAACCTGTGACAAGTGTCCAGCAGGAACCTATGTGTCCAAGCACTGTACGAACACAAGCCTGCGTGTCTGCAGCCGTTGCCCTGCGGGCACCTTTACCAGACATGAGAATGGCATGGAGAGATGCCGTGACTGTAGTCAGCCATGCCCATGGCCGATGATTGAGAAATTACCGTGTGCTGCCTTGACTGACCGAAAATGCACTTGCCCACCTGGCATGTTCCAGTCTAATGCCACCTGTGTCCCCCACACGGTGTGTCCTGTGGGCTGGGGTGTGCGGAAGAAAGGGACGGAGATGAAGGATGTGCGGTGTAAGAAGTGTGCTCAGGGTACCTTCTCTGATGTGCCTTCTAGTGTGATGAAATGCAAAACTTACACAGACTGTCTGAGTCAGAGCCTGGTGGTGATCAAGCCGGGGACCAAGGAGGCAGACAATGTCTGTGGCCCCCTACCCACCTTCTCGAGCACGACCCTACCATTCCCTGGTCCAGCCATCTTCTTAAGCCCTGAGGACACGGAATCTCAAGAAGTCCCTTCGTCCACTTCAGTTCCCAAAGGTAACTTCACCTTGTGAGTTCTTGGCTTGGGGGAGGAGGTGTCCATGATACCATCCAAAGAAGGAGATTTTCTTCATTTTATGTTTTCCAAAGTCACTTTTGAAAGATGGGGCATTCATTTTAGATCTGGCTTCAGTGGATCTATTAGATTTCATTTCTGAAGTTGTTTTTTTGTTTTACTTTTTTTTTTTTAGGGGAGATCAAATGACTAAAAATCTAAGCCATGTTAAGCTAGAAAACGTTAACAGAGGGAAAAATAAAAGAATATGTGACCTTGTGTAAGGTGCTGAGATACTTCAGGCCTCAGTTTCAAACTGATCAAGTAAATGAGTAAATTCAGTATGGAAGGTCACAGAAACGTACATCAATTCTGAGAGGCCATATCAGGGAGGAAAGAAGGAGGGGGAGAGGAGAAAAATATTAGATCAGGAAGGCAGGGATGAGTCCTGCATCAAAGTGAGACAAGGAAAAAAGAAGAAAATGGGAAAGAAATTTGTATCCAATTAAAGATAACAAGCACTAATTAAAGGAGCTCTGGTGGTAAAGTCCATAGATAATTATGCTGAACACAATGTCAATGGCCAGGCAGTGCTTCTAATACTGGTAATGCTCGAGGTTAAGTTTTTGGTAAACATAACCCATTCTATGAGTGGAGTGGTGGGAATGAGTGTGTTTGAGACGGCGAGGTTGGCACAGGATAGAACGGTGTTTAGGGTTCTTGTACATAGGGTCGCTATGAGTTGCAGGCAACTCGATGGCACATAACAACAACAACAACAACAACAACAACCACCCAATTGGAGGTGGTCCTAACCCTGTAGCAGCTCCGAGGGAGAATGCTGTACAATCTCTCTCCTGCGATTTACAGCTTGAACAACCAAATCAGTGGAGGGCCAGATCTGAACTGCTTCCAACTCCATGGCAATTGTTGTTTTCTGCCTTCGACTCAGAACAGATTCGTAGCTGACCCTCCAGTGAGTTTTCAGAAGGTATAAATCATATGGGAGGAGATTGGCCCCCTTTATTACCTGGAGCAGCTGGTGGATACGAACTGCCTGCCTTTGGGGTTGGTAGAGTAACTCAAAGCCACCCGAGTGAGCACCACTGTTCAAAACATTTTCCCATTCTAAAGGAATTTTATTTTTCTTCAGGCATCCCAACATTCACAATGACCCTTAAATCTTTAACCTTAATTCTGACTAATTAACCTTTAATATATAACAGATTAACCTTTATTTAAAAAATCTTTTCTTTTTTGCTTAAACTCAAATTCCATGAAGATTATAACCCATTTGAGTTTTGTTTTCTCAGCTCATCACCATTGAGTCTGAATGGACAGACTCATAGCTGGCTCTCGGTGGGTTTTCAGAGGCTGTAGATCACATGAGGGGAGATGGCTTTCTGTCTTGTTAGCAGCAGCCCTTAAGGCATGACCACATTTGATCCTCAGGACCAACCTGTAATATGGGGGGTTGGGGGTGTGTCTTCTTACAACCCCCCTTTTAGGAAGAATTGCCTCAGAGGGCTGCAATAACCCATCAAGATGTTTACAGGAGCTGCTCCTCTCAGACGCCTGTCTCTGGGACTCAAAATCCCCAGCACTCACACTCCTTAGGCGGGAGCTCTGGTGGCTCTGGTGGGAAGGAGTTGCATTCGTGACCCAAAAATGGGTGGTAGGCAATCTGCCAACTGCTCTGAGGGAGAGCAATGGGTAACCTCTTCCTGAGTATTTACAGCCCCTGAAAACCCACTGAAAGCTCAGCTATGAGTCGCTTCCGACTCAATGGTACATCACAACAACAACAACATACTCCTTAACAGAGATCGTCCTGAACAGAGATTCCTTCAGAAAGCTATGTTCAAAGATGAAATCCAGGAGTTACAGGAGCTAAGAAAGTTGTACCTTATTTTAGCCACCATCCTGTCCCACTAAACCTTGAGTTTCAACTCTTGAGTTTGGTCACATTCCCTTTTTTTACCAATGTCTCAAAAAATAGTCCAGAAGTGGGGCAGAAAGAATATGAATGCAGAAATTGAATTGAGACTCGATCTCCAGATAATGAAGGCAACAGAGGAGGCACACAAACAAGCGTGGGTCTAGTCTGTGAGAGAAGGACAGGAATTGCTGAGGGGAAGGTCAGCTCTTGGCTCCCTGGAGATGCCCATGGTTCGGGCATGGGGCAGCAAGTTGAGCTGTGCAATTTTTTTGTCTTTTACCCAAAGTTGATCTTAAGAGCTTTCTGGAAAACCAACCAACCAACCCACCCCAAATAAACTCATTCTTAATCTTCTTACTTGGATTATCTGACCCAACTTAGAGATGACCAGTAGAGGAGGGAATATATTGATCCCCAAATATAGAAAAGCTTTTCCCACTTCTTACTCTTTTTTTCTAGGCATGAACTCAGCAGAATCCAACCCTTCTGCCTCTGATAGACCAAAGGTACCAAGTGACACCCAGGAAAAGACGGACCTTGACAACACAAACTCAGCAGCAGGGAAGGACCATGTGAACAAGGCCCTCCCGTCGGGAGAGCATGGCGGGAACAAGACCCGTCCAAACCTCCAAGTCATAATACACCAGCAAAACACCCACCACATACACATCCTCAAGCTGCTGCCGACGTCCAAGTCCAGCACACCCACCAAGGATTCCAACCGAGGCCACCTCGGACAGAACTTGCCCAAGTATTTTGACATCAATGAGCACCTGCCTTGGATGACCGTGCTGTTCCTGCTGCTGGTATTGGTCGTCATCGTGGTGTACAGCATGCAGAAGAGCTCGTGGAACCTGAAGAAGGACCCCCAGCAGTATCCCAGCGCCATCGTGGAAAAGGGGGGGCTCAAGAAGGCGCTCGCCCCCACCCAGTACCGGGAGAAGTGGATCTTCTACTGCAACGGTCACGGTAAGCCTGCTAGATTCTCTCCTCTCTCACAGATCCCCTGGCCTCGCCTTCCCTCGTTTCTGTCATTGGGAGGAATGGGGCATGCACAGAATCCCTTCTGTAGACCAAATGCTGTTGGATCTGATTGTGTTAGAAAAAAATGAATTGATCACCATGAGGCATAATGTAGTGATGAGAGTTACTCGCGCCCCTCATTTTCCCTGGGCACCTGTAGAAGGAGCAGTTGTTGCCAAAGCAGTTACCTGAGAGAGTGGTCCTAAAGATCTGTGTCAGCTGGGAGTTGATTCTGACTCAACAGCAGCGTTCTACTGCTAATAATAATAGTCTCTTAGTGATTTTTCAGAGTTTTCAGAAGCTTTAAATCATGTGGGAGGAGATTGCCCATCTTCCTCTTGCTAAAAAGCTATGTTACTCTTGTTGTGCAGTGCCATTGAGTCAAGTACAACTCATAGCGACCCTATGAACAAAGGGCCAGAAGGAACCCTGTCCTATCCTGTGCCATCCTCATCATCTCTGGCACCCTCAAGCTGGCGGTACACACTTAAACCTCAGTGTGTTTAACCGTGATACATTTGTTCATTGGTTCTGATTCATGGTCTTCTTATGCATAACAGAAGGACCTTGTTTGGTCCTGTGCTATGGCATATCATGACTCTTGGCATATCATGATCTAGGATAACGTTCGTGTCCCTTGTTTTGGCTACTGTGTAAATGCACCTCATTAAATGCTTCCTTTGTTTTTAGTGGTGAAAAATAGGTGTCCTTTTTCTAAAGATTTTTGGTTTTGATGATGTGTCCAAAGTAAACAAGAGGCAGTTTCCCTATCCCATTTTCTAAGAAATATCTCAGTTTTATTCCTTATCCCCATATTTCTGTGTAGGGAGCAAATTCTTATCCTCTTATCTAGCACAGGACACAGTCTAGGATTCTATAATATTTTAAATTGCATTTTAATTGGCCAATCAGGAATTCTTGTTCTACTCCAGATTTATCTAATTAATAGAAAACAATGTGAGTCTCCCACTGGGATGATGTCAATATTTTGTTACTCATTTCATTAAAGAAAGGGCTATTATGTTGTTCTTTGCAATTATGAACTGGATTGTGGTAAGCTACACCTATAAGCCCTCTCTTGCAATGTCATTTCCATAAGTCTTGAGAACACAAAGGTATGGGAATAAAGATTGGTCCCACAGCAGAGACCAATTTCTCACAGTGACCTTGGGCATTTTTGTGTCCATGGTAACCTTGTAAATTGCTATGCTTGTGTTTTTAAAACGATATCCAATTTCGTAAAAAGAAGGGAGGTGCCAAGTCAAACAGAGCCGAATCAGACATTCTGTGAAAGCAATACTTCAGCAATATGATTTTCAAACTGACAGCAGTCAAATTAATATGTAACTAGCTCTTCCAATAGTTTGATCACTCTCCACTCCATTCACACAGGGCTTTGCTTTGGTGTGTGTGCTCAGATCTAAGATGCTTTTCTGAAGGTTTTTCCTTTCCTTTCCTGCTTGGTAGGCTTTAAAGGTCCATCCAGGTGAAATCTACTACAAAGAGATGTTCTGTTTAATTGAAGCCATTCCAGGTGCTCAGAAGCTTTTGGAAACAATGCCTTCTTGATTTTTTTGCAGTGGGTTCTGGGTAGCACATAATCCTGTTGAAGGAGATCTTTTCCGGGTCATTCTCCCCTTCACTAAATCTTCATAAGGAGAGGAAATCAGCTAGGCCTAGATTGTTCCGTGTTTTGATGGCTTTAAGCTGACCATGGTCAAGCTCTTCAACACTCTTAGACTCTCAATATTGAAAAAGCTAGACTATTAGTTTTTGTCTTTCTCATCAGTAAGAGTCTTTTTTAAGTTATTCATCTGCATGCCTCCCACTCTGACTACCATGAATTACAGACGTGAAAGATGGAAATTCTCCTTTCGAGGGGTCTGAGGGTTGACAAAGGAAGGTGAGGCATCATGAAGCTAAGGATGGAGGGGTAGTGGTCCTGTGATGCTGTTTGCTTTTCATTTACAGGACCAATAGCAGTTTTATTTGTGGTAGGTTGGAATGATTTCTAGCAATATGTTTATTTCAGCAACAGGAACTGCAAGTCTTTTTATTGTTCATTATGTAAAAAAATCAAGAGTTTTATTATTAAGCACAATTATCAAGATGTAAGTGTACTGCTAATTCTCAATTTGTCAAAATTTCTATCATCTTAAAACATTGATCATTTTTAAAAATTGTAAATACTCCCTCACATTCCCTGATATAATAGGGTAAATGGGAGTCTTAAATGTTCAGTTTAATTTAAAATTATTATTTATGTGGGGTCACGACATAGAAAGTAGTCTTTTAAATTTTATTTTGGCCACTAAAAGCATAAAAGTTATTATAGGGCTTTTCTGTTCTAGTTGTGTATAACTGACCATATATTGCAATGGAAAAAGTCTCAAATGATCTTAAAATAACCATCTCATTTGCTTCCTTATACCTGTGATGTTAAGGTTAGCCACAAACCATGTAGGCTAACCTCATTAACTTAGGTAAAATTCAGATTTTCAGATACTCCTGCCCCATTTTAATAACTCAGTAGCTATGTCTGATTGTTGTTGTTTTTGAACTCATAGTGATCCTATGAACAACGAATCTGAATCTTGTCCTCTCTTGTGCCATCCTCATAATTTTTGACATACTAGTCCATTACAGCAGTCACTGTGTCAGTCCTTTTGGTTGACGATCTTCCTTTCTTTTGCCAACCCTCTACCTTTCCAAGGATGAACATGATTCTATTAGCTTCTTCCCTTCTCCAGAAATATTTTCCCTAAACCATTTTCCAGGGTACTTGGTCGTTGTTATTAGGTGCTGTCAAGTTGACCATGACTCACAATGACCGTATGAACCACAGGTCTGTTGTTATGTGCCATGAAGTCACCAGGGACTCATAACAACCCTATATACAGCAGCTCTGAACTCTTCCCTGTCCTGAGCAGTCTCACTGACTCCAACACACTTACCCCCATTGCCCCAGTTTATTGTTTCAATCCATCTCATCTGGGATCTTCCTCTCCTGGGCTGTCCCTCCACCCTTCTGAGCATGATGACCTTCTCTACCTGCTGTTATCAGGAGAGTCTCCTTTACCATGTGGATCTTTCTCTCAGGTCTACCTGCCACACTCATCTCTATGTCAAGCCAGACCCAACCATAAGAGAGGACAGAATTGTTTGAGTTCTCTTTTCTCCCACCTTTCATCTATTTAAGAAATGCTTTGAGTCGAGAAAGGGACCAAGAGGAGAAGATGGCAACTTCCATCTCTGTCACTACTTTCCTCATAGAGATCTTGAGGCGGTGAATCAGGATAGATTAGCTGTCTTAGTTCAGTTCCTGGTTGAAAGGATGGGACGAATGGAAGATATGCAGTTAAGGAAAAGAAAAAAAATTCTCTTTTGACTCCATTCTGATTGTTCTTTTGTATTCCTTACTCATTGTTGAACTTTCAGAGGCATAGGGAGCAACTGGTGGCCTAGTGGCAAGAAACTGTACTGCAATCCTGAAGGCATGCAGTTCAAATCCACCAGCTGCTCTGTGGGAGGAAGGGTATTCTCCTTCCATGCAATTAACTACCTCACAACAACAGCATTGCACAATTAGAAATAGCATGGCTTGGATTAGGTACACCTTAGTCTTTAAACTTGCTCTTATATTCTTGTTCTTAGCACTACAGAGGAGTCCTTGACAGCAGATTTCCTCAGTGCAACATCTCTTTTAATTTCTGGAATGTTGACTGTGAAAACTTCAGTCTTTTCTCCACCTATCATGTTGTTTCCTATTGGTCCAGTGCTGAGGACCAATTTTGCAGTAAGTCAGTGATGGCAGAGTCGTGCTAACCTCAGCTTGCATGTGCTGCACCCAGTGGTTTGCTTTCATGGGCCATCAACAGCCGCAGCCAGAAGCAGCCTGCCCTCCTGTGCCAGGCAGACTCCTTGACTGAAAATTCCAGACAACAGTTGTCCTCTCTGTCAGCCCAAATTTCCTATGGGAAGTAGACTTGCAGTGTAAATACCAGTGAGCCAGCCTGAAGGGAGCAGACATCATTTAAGAGCGTCCAGCATTCCACACCCCTGGATGTCCTCTGCTCTGCAGTCATTTTATGGCCCAGGAACCAGCCATTTGCCTGTCCCACTGTCTTTTCCGCCCTGGCTTCCAATACTGCCCTTCCCAGCAGACAGCTCTTTTCTGTTTAACCTCATAAGATGTTTCAGGAATAAGCAGAATGCTGAGATGTGGTAGAAGAGTATTCTGTCTTGCAGGAAGTGTCAAGGAGAAATGGGATTTGTTCCCAAAGTGTTAAGGTGAGGCTGAGGGGGTTGAGTTGGAGGCTGATGGTCTCCCAAGACTGATTCACTGATGATTCTTCCTCTAGGGAAGGTTTTACTGTTTTGATGTACTGCGTATTTCACAAACCCATCTGGTTAACAGCTTTTGACCTTAAACCATTTGGAATTTTAACCAATATGCAAATCAGCCTTTCCTCCTACCCTCCCCCCACCCCCCAGCATTCCCTCTTTGGCCAAAGATACAAATCAAGAGAGAAAAATGTCTTTATTAATATCTTTCTGCACCTGTAACCATACATGTTGTAGTGATAGTGGTGGTGTACCATCGAGTCAGAACCGACCCATAGCTTGACCCTCCAGCAGGTTATCAGAGGTAGTTAATCACAATAGAAGAATATTGCTCATCCTTCTCCTGTGGAGCAGCTGGTGGGCTTGAACTGTGTGCCTTCAGGATCGCAGCACAGTTTCTTGCCACTAGGCCACCAGCACACACCATACATAAATTTAAAAAAAAATCCACACGATCAGGCATTCTATAAACAGATTTTGCAGAGAATAAGAATGTTTTAGAGTTTTGTTGATAATTTTGCTGGAGAGATTGGTAATTAGCATTGCAATAATATGGTTAGAATTGGACAGAATAGGCTTACTGATGATATATAGGAAACTTTATGAAATGTTGTTATATGCTATTGAGTTGGAACTGACTTACAGTTGTCCCACTAGTGTGTATTTAGAGGCTGTAAATTGCACAAAAGGAGATTGCCCATGTTTTTCCTGAGGAGCAGCTGGTGGTTTTGAACCATGTGCCTTTGGATTGGCAGCACAACTCCTTCCCACCAGGTTACCAGAACTCCCTATAGACAGAGGCAAGTTTATCAGCTAAAAAGAGCCACAAGCCCCTTTTGGTATTTTGGAGATTATAATTGGAACTTTGATGGCTGGGACCCACTGAATGGGAGAATGAGCTGCTGTTCTCTGTTGTTGTAAAGATTCAGGCTCAGGAATTCATGTCGGAAGGTTCTTCTATCCTGTAGCATTGGCATGAGTTGACTTTATGGCACAAGCAGCAATAAGGCATCACTGATGCCTTCTTCATTTGGCTTCCAGCACTCCACACTGTTGCAGGAAGGACATTGCCTGCAGCTCATACCTCCTGTTTTCCACATGCACTTCTCAAGAGACTGCTCTGCATTTGTTGAAAACTAACACAGGGATAACTCTGGAGTCATCTGTCCTGGGAGGAGGTTGTGTGCACTAATTGCCTCCAGGGGAATTTTCTCATGTATTTGACTCTCCACTTCTCATCCTGGAAGAATAATGAGAACTGACATCACGTTTAGTAAGTATGTGAGATGCAGTGGGAATGGTTGAAACTTTTTAAATGATGAGAATTTGGAATTGAGTTAATTGAAAAAAAAAAGCAAGCAATCAAGCAAAACTTGTTCATGCGCTCAGCATATCGGTGGTTTAGTGGTGGGTTACTCACCTTCCACATAAAAGAACTGGGTTCACAGTCTGCCCAGCGACCCTTATGTGCAGCCATGTGTGTGGCTTGATGCAGATTTATTCCAGGGAATCTTCCAGACTAAGTAAGATTCACTAGGAAGGAAGGCCTCGTGGACTATGTCTGAACTGAATCAGAAAATTGTTTATTGAGGGTAGAATTAGAGCAGTTTGATGTCTGTGGGGAATGGTTCCATGGGGCTACACTTTCTGGGTACACACTGTCAGTCTGACGGCATAAGGGACACTATCCCAGGACCACATCATCCTTTCAGATAGTACTGATTAAAGTTCTGGAATTTTCATCTGTGTCTTCCCTTTGCTGGATCTCAAGGAGTCAGCATTCCTTTAAGTTGAGAGCTTCTGGTTTATTTGGCTACAGTCTATTTAATTTGAGCAAAGGAATCACACTGCTTCCTTTGCCTCGATTTGACTTTCTAAAACTCTTTTAGGGACAATTTATTATACTCCCGCATGGTGGCTCCTCTTGGTCCTCTGTTCTCAAAGTGAAATTTATATGATTTGTCATATGAATTTATATTTATCTGTCAATCCACAGGATGGGCTGCACCAAATGCATAGGAAAAGCAGGGCATTCATTTGCATATTGTTGTTATGTGCCATCAAGTTACTTGCACGTCATTGCAACCCTATGTACAACAGCCCTGACATCGGCTCTATTCCTGTGCCAACCTGATTGTCTCTGACACACTTACTCTCGTTATTCCAGTCACTGTATCAGTCCATCTTGTCGATGGTCTCCCTCTTTCTCCATCCCTCCACCCTTCCAAGCATGATGTCCCTCTCCAAGGACCAGTCCCTTTTTACAGCATGTCCAAAATATGTCAGATGAAGCTTCAGAATAATTTGCATATAGCATTGGGAAAACTTCTATTAGCTCAGAAAACCTTCCTTCCTCAGAACTCATGCCTGTATATGTTGTCTCTCGTGTAGGTGTTGACATCCTGAAGCTTGTTGCCACCCAGGTGGGAAGCCAGTGGAAGGAAATCTATCTGTATCTGTGCAATGCAAGTGAGAAGGAGGTGGCTGCCTTCTCCAGTGGGTACACAGCAGACCATGAGCAGGCCTACGCAGCTCTGCAGCACTGGACCATACAGGGACGAGAGGCCAGTCTTGCCCATTTAATCAATGCCCTCCGTCAATACCGGCGCAACGACGTGGTGGAGAAGATTCGTGGGCTGATGGAAGACACCCTCACGGTAAGTTAGCCCTGGTCCTCTGACTTTTCCCCCAAACCTCATTGCTCCTGCACCTCAGATCTGTTTTTATCAGGTATAATTGTTCTTGGTGAAACATTCTTCTAGGCTGTGTAACCCTGGTGTGTCCACTTGCTGTACAGAGGTAACTCATGGTTGCTGTGAAGCTGAACACTGTGACACTGATGAGTCAAATGGGAAAATGGTTACCCATGGAGGACAGTGTTTGGTGGAGCTCCCAGATTAAAACAAGCTTGGAAGCAGGAGTGGCAGCCACTTCCATAATAGCTTGCCTCTGGAAACTCTATGAACCTGGAGAAAGGAAAGTCCAGGACTTTCATTCATAGGGTCGCTATGAGTCGCCTGTGACTCAACAACACTTAACAACAACAACATATGGAACAAAGAAAATAATTAGTATTAATTATTTAAGATTCTTCCTCTCTCTCTTGTTCTCGCTCTCTCTCTCTCACACCCCCCCCCAACCACCCCCCACACCCTTTCCCTATGATTCTCAGTGGTTATCCATTACAATCATCTGTTGTTATGTACCATCGAGTCAAAACCGACCCATAGATAACCCTCTGGTGGGTTTTCAGAGGCAGTAAAATTACAAGAGAGGAGATTGCCCATTTTCTTCCATGGAGCAGCTGGTGGATTCCAACCAAGTAGAGTCGCTATGAGTCGCAAGCGACTCGATGGCACATAACAACAACAACAACATGAGAAGGATTGAAGTGGCTTTTTTTCTGTCCTGTGATACAGTCTCTCAAACTTTAGAACAGGATGCATCTATTAGTGGGTGGCACTGTTGATCCCTTTAATCCACACTGTTAGTGGCTTTGTCAAAAAAGTACGTTGAGAGGAAGTAATCAATGTTGTGAAAATAAGTATCTATGCCTTCAATTATCAGTGCTGCAGAATGTATTTTTAACTTTATTTTTCTAAGTCAATACCTATCTGGGTAAAGTGTAATATCTTCCAGTTCTGGCCTAACGTCTTTATACTTGTGAAATTGGCTCTGTGACCAAATTGATCTGTTAAAGCCAATATGACTGAATTTATTGAGGAAGAATTGCATTATGATCAGCAGTAGGTTTTCTTATACAGCAGTTAAATTCAGTACTTGAATTATTCCTTATGATTTCTTTGCGAGAGAGCATTATCATTCCTTATTTTCCAATTATATCTAATATATATTCCAACTACATATGCTGTATAGTCCAATTTTTTACTATATAATTTCCCGGAGAAGAATGTTGATTCCCCACCCCCACCCCGGTATGGTAGACAAAAGGTCTATGGCTTAAGCAGCATGATTCGCTATGGACTACATATGCACCAGAGATGCTAATGAAACTGTTAAGTGGAGTAAAAAGTAATATCTGAAGAATGCTTTTTATTTCATTGTGGGTATTTGTTTTGGGGGTTTATCTCTATAGTTCTTTAAGTATATAATCTAAACATCTTCCATTCTGTTTTTAACCTTCTCACAGCTTGAAACTGAAAAACTGGCTTTCCCAACCAGCCCTGGCCCACTTAGCCCGAGCGCTGTCCCCAGTCCCAACACAAAACTTGAAAATTCCACCCTCCCGAGGGTGGAGCCTTCCCCGCTGGATAAAAACAAGGGCTTCTTCGTGGATGATTCCGAGCCACTGCTTCGCTGTGACTCCGCCTCCAGTGGCTCCTCCGCGCTGAGCAGGAACGGCGCCTTTATTACCAAAGGTGAGGACAGGCACTTGAAGGACAAACGGAGGTAGTGCTCCACCTCCCACAAGTGAGCCTCTGGCCATTTCTCCCTGCCCTTTCCGCTATCCTGTTGTGGTTGAGTCATCCCAGTGACCTGCCCTGAGAGACCTATCCCTGGCTAACGTGGGAGGCAGCAGTCCTTAGCCCGAGAGGACACACGTGTAACCCTGCTGGAGAGTTCTGTCACCGAAGAGTATTGGTCACCTTTTCTCCTCTGGATGCTATCAAATGTATTTCAGGGAAGGAGGGATAAAATGTAGTCCAGCAGGTTTTAGGAAACTAATTAACCAGACTTGCTGAGTCTGACAGACTTAAAGCGTAATATATCATGAGCCTGAAATTTCCTAGTGTTTATGAGTGTTTTGTTTTGAGTAATAATAATTTACATGGTTTTAGGTGAGGGTGTACACAGTAGTTTAAGTTCTCATTCAGCCATTGAAATATTGCGTTTCCTGACTTAAATTGCTCCTAATTTGAGTTGAAGCTGGCTGCAAATGACAGTACTTTAAACAAAGTGGATTGAGGCTTTTTACTAAATAACTAATCAAGCTCATTTTTTAATAGCTGGGTGGGAAATTAGTATACTTATACTGAAAGAAGATTCTTATTAGAGTTTTCTTAGTTTGAGTATTTACAGTCCCAGTCTAGTAAAAGTTGTTTTATGTGTTTTTTAATATTTCCTAAACTTACTTTATGGTTATATATTTTATATGCTGTGCATATTTGTACTCAACTATTTTGCATTGGTAGAAATATTTATATGCTGGTTCATGGGAGGAAATTGCTTATCCTTCTCCCTTGAAGCAGCTGGTGAGTTCAAACCATGTGCCTTTGGAATTGTAGTGCAGCTTCTTACCACTAACTAACTAACTAGGCTACCAGAGTTCCCTTTGGATATAGGCCAATGTGTATTTTTGGTTATTACTAAAAAAAAATGTATGTTCCAGATGGGAAAATAAGTAAATCCTCCCCCACCCCCAAAAGAACCCCACTTGTTTAGGAATCTCAGAATTTTCTAAGTTTTTCAGAGAATTTAGAGGAAAGCCTTCAAGTCTAGACCATATTATGTTAATGATTTATCTACAATCCATTCAAGAGAGCTCCAGCAGGGTTGTCTATATGGAGGGAATGGAGCTTCTTACCTGAAGAAGGTGCCTTTCTGGCCATTCAAATCTACCAGTGACTCTAAGAAAGATGGTCAGTCTATTCCATTGTGATTTACAGCCTCCAAAAATCTGCTAGAGGGTCAGCTACCTCAGCAATGACTGACTTGTTGAAACAGAGAGGTCTTTATCTGATCTCTTTTAGACCAGTCTTGTTATCTCCTGGGTGTGTATTGTAAACAGAAACTCATATTGAAAGTGAATCAGAGGGGAATGTCACTCCTTTGGGAGAAGGGGCAGAGAAGGAAGGAGTAGGCTTGGAGTGGGGCAGTGTCTGTAGATGTCACTCTCCCAGCACCCAGCCTAGCAGAATTCCTAATGGCTACCTGTCCTTCCCTCCCTCCCCTGCAGAAAAGAAGGACACAGTGTTGCGGCAGCTACGCCTGGATCCCTGCGACTTGCAGCCTATCTTCGATGACATGCTTCACATCCTGAATCCTGAGGAGTTGCGGGTGCTTGAAGAGATCCCTCAGGCCGAGGACAGACTGGACCGGCTATTTGAGATTATTGGAGTCAAGAGCCAGGAAGCGAGCCAGACCCTCTTGGACTCTGTTTATAGGCATATTCCTGACCTATTGTAGAACTCTGGGGATACTGCACTCTGGAATATTGCTCAATTTAGTGGCAGGGTGGTTATTACTGTTTTCTTTTGGGTTTGTTTGGTTTTTTTGGGGTGTGTGTGTGTGTGTATGTGTATGTGTGAGCGTGTGCGCGCGTGTGTGTTTAACAGAATTTAATGGCCAGTGTTTTGATTTCTTTTTCCTTTTTTTTTTTAACCCTTCTGGGAAGTTATTTTATAAGCCGTTTTAAAAATGTAACTATTAAAAAATACCGACCACTAAAGTGTTTTGTTGGTTTTCTTTTTTTTTAAGTTCCGTATTTTTCTGTTTTTCCTTCTTAAGTGTTTTCCAAATCGTTCTGTGCACTTTAAATTCACTTCACTCACCTAACACAGATCCCTGTCCATTGGGTTTGCAAGGTTCCTAAATGTGTAACGAAGTCATATGAATTCTGTCCACAGTCTTAATGTCTCTCAATATCCGCACCTACTATTTTTTTATTGTTGTTATTATCACTGCAATTTTTTTTTTTTTTTGGTCATTTACAAATCTCCTTAAGGGTTAAGGAACTTTACAAACCCCGTTAAGCTGCTGTAATGCGATTTGATTTTGCGTTCTCATTTCAGTGTCTTGTATATTCATGGCTAAGACTTGACCACACTGTTGCTGATTGTAGGGTTTTCACCTGGACACTATGTAGGATGCCTGATTCCTGTGCTTCTCTTTCGCTAATATGCTCTGGGCTGGAGGAAAGAAACCCCAAAGCCATCAAGACTTGCTATTTAAAAGTGGCTGACCAACGAGGCCACAAGAGAATTTAGGGAATGAGCTGTTCTGGAATCTATTGCTGCACTTTGGGATGTCAAAAGTGGCACCTTTTCCATAGAGAATCTGCCCACTTTTGCTTTTAAAGATGTCTTGTTTTTTATACACACATAGTCTATTAGGTCTAGTCTGTCCTCATGACCTTGGTCTTGGTGGGTTTACTTCATCATTCAATCACTTGAATTAAAAATGGCTGCAGATGTAAGAACTCTTGTCTGTTATATTTGCAACTATGCTAACATTTATAAGCATCCCGTCTAATACTCAGGGTTTTTTTTTTCCTTTTTATTATTAAATTTTATTAGTTTTAATGAACATTTACAGAGATTTTGGGTTTTCATTCATTCATTGTTGCACTGTAATACTCAGTTTTGAAATTCTGCTGCAAGGCTGGGGTGGACCGCCTTTGTAGCTGGGGTCTGTGGGTAATGGTGAGGGACTGATGTCAGAAAAATGCCTTCAAGTGTACTAATTTATTAATAAATATTAGGTGTTTGTTACTTGAGTTGTTGGTGTTTAATTCTTAATTTCCTGCCCTATATGTGTACTTAAATTATGAAAACTCTTTACTTTCCTAGTCTCTTAGAAAACCATTTCCAAAAAAACCTCAGCCTTTTTAAAATCTGTAAGCCATGCAAATTAGCAAAGATATGTGTCTGTAAAGTTATCTGGCATTCACCCAGAAAAAGTCTGGTAAGACTGTCAAACATTTCTTAGCCTTTTGAGATAAAGCCAGGAATTCTGACAGCACAATGGTTAAGATACTTGGAGACCAACCCTTCAACTACTCTTCAGGAGAAAGATGAGGTCGTATGCTTCATAAGATTTTCATCTAGAAGCTCTGAGCAGTTCTGCGCTGCCCTGTAGGGTCACTAATGAGTTGGAATCAACTCAGTGGCCATGGCTTTGAGCTGGGTGGGATTAAAGCTGAAGTTTCCATCTTCAAGTAGTTCCTATTTTAACAAATGACAATTTCAAGGTGGAGCGGTACAGTGAAGTTATTACGTGTCATCAAGTCAGAACTGACCCATAGCTGAACCACCAGTGGGTTTTCAGAGGCAGTTAATCGTATGGGAGGGAACTGCCCATATTTCTCCTGTGAAGCAACTGATGGATTCAAACTGCATGCCTTTGGGTTGGCAGCACAACTCCTTACCTCTAGGCCATTGTTCTTTAGATTTCATGCAAGAAATTACAGCTCATGAGTCTATCAAAGTCCAAGGATTCTATCAGAAACCTATTTCCCTTCAAGTGACAGGGAATGTGTGTATGTGTGTGTGTAGGCTTGACAACATGAGGCAGGGTGGGATCAATTAAGTATTCATCACATGTCTCCCTTAGCATGGGCGCCCTGCTGCTGCAGAATTCCACTAACCAGAACCTCAGCAATTTTGAGTTCCTGTTTCAGTGAGAAATTGGAACTGGAACACTCCGTCAGAATGCTGACAGCCACGTCAGCAACACTGATGGCATGTTCTAGTTTTAGCCAGTTCTACATGGTTTCTAGAGAACTCATATTTCAGTAGCTCTCACGCCAGGTTTCCCCTTTCCTGTTGTGAACAGAAGCAAAAACCCTCATTACAAAAGAGATGCTGGAATAGGTCAGAAATGAGAGTAGGAAAGACAGATTCCACCCCGACACACCCCCGCCCCCCAGAGGATTTCTGGACTATCACTTGTTACAGGGAGATATGATGGAATTAGCAAACTGGTTATGAATTTATGAATTATTCATAGTTCAGGATATGGCTTTTGTTAATAACCTACATTTGCATGTTTGTTGTGTACCGTGGAGTCGGAACTGACCCATACCTTACCTCCTGGTGGGTTTTCAGAGGCAATTAATCCCACAGGAGGAGATTGCCCATCCTTCTTCCACAGTATGGTGACCTTGAACAGTGTGACTTCGGAATTGCAGCCAATTCTTGCTGCTAGGCCACTAGAGCTCCCTCCACATTTGCATGTTGTTATGTGCCATCAAGTCGCTTGCGACTCAAAGCGACCCTATGTACAACAGCCCTAAACTCTGCTCTGTCCTGTGCCAATCACACTGTCTCTGATATACCCATCTCGATTACCCCAGTGACTGAATCAATCCACCTCATAGAGGGCCTTCCTCTCCTGCACTGTCCCTCCACCCTCCCAAGCATGATGTCCCTCTCCAAGGACTGGTCCTCCTTACAACATGTCCAAAGTATGTCAGACGAAGCCTCAGAATCCTTGACTCCAAGGAGCAGCCTGGTTTAACGTTTAACCCTCTCCAGGATGAACCTGTTCATTTTCTTAGCAGTCCATGGTACATTCAATACTCTTCTCCAGCACCACAGCTCAAAGGCATCAATTCTCCTTCCATCATCCGTAGTCATTGCCTAGCTCTCTGATGCTTAACAACTGATTGCAAAGACCATGGCCTGTATCATACGCACCTTAGTCTCCAGAGAGACACCATTGCTCTTCAGTACTTTGGAGAGGTCCCTAACAGCAGACTTTCCCATCGCAATGCGATATATTTGCATGTTGTTGTTGTTGTTGTTATGTGCCGTTGAGTCGCCTGTGACTCATCTCATTGAAGCCTTGCACCAGTCATACAACTTGTTGTTAGCTGCTTTGGAGTCAAAGCCCACTTGTGGTGACTTTATAACAGAAGGACGACCTGCTTTGTCCTGCATCTTCCCCCAACAGTCGTTGGCATATTCACGTTCATCCTTGTGGCCTTTGTGCCAATTCATCCCTCTCAAGGCTCCTAGCTTCTATTTTACCCATGTCATGTTCTCTTTTAGTGGTTCATCCTTCATGATGACACATCCAAAAACCAGCAAGCCAGATTTTGTTCTATTGGTATCCATAAGGTTGTTATGGGCTAATTTCAGAACTAGATCACCAGGACTTCTTTCCTCTTTGTAATTCCAAAGCCCCACTAAAAATATGTTCATTAGGAGTGACTCTGCTAGTATGTGAAATTCGGGAGGCATAGCTTCTAGCATCATAGCAACACCCCAGCCACCAAAGTAGTATGTGTGTGTCAAAGTAACAGACATAAAATGAGTACTATTATTGTCCCCACTTAGAAAGAAGAAGGAAGGAAGGAAGGAAGGAAGGAAGGAAGGAAGGAAGGAAGGAAGGAAGGAAGGAAGGAAGGAAGGAAGGAAGGAAAAGGAGGGAAAGAAGAAGCTTACAAAAGCCAAGCCCTTGCTTTAAGGTAAAGTCACTTGACCGTCAAACTTACTGCAGTCAAGTCAGAATTGACTCATAGATAACACTCCATTGGGTTTCTGGGATTGTAAATCATAGAGGAGATTGCCCATCTTTCTCCCTGAGAACCTCGGGTGGATTTGAACCACCAAAAGAGTCATGGCCTTTGGGTTCGGAGCACAGCTCCATATTGACTATGACAGAGACCACAGATAAAACGTAGATCTGCATAACAAGTAAAATCCTACATTAAGTTTAATAAATGACTGTGTTTAGGAATGGGCAACCTCTTGAAGACTCACAGGAATGGGACATAGAGGTTGGGGTTTACACAAGTTTAAAATGGAACTAATGTGGTACTGAAAAAGCAAAAAACAACAAAAAACCCCCCACCAAAACATTAACCCTGTTACCATTGAGTCAATGTGTAAGAGATGAACTGCTCCATAGAATCTGCAATGGCTACACTGACCAAAGGAGCCTTGATGGCACAAAATGCCCTGGGTTGCTAATCTGGTAGTATAATCCATAGGGAGTTGCATTGCTAACCCAAAAGACATGCCTCTCTAGCAATGGCTGCATACGAGACAGGTAGACCCTTTCCTCCTATACTGTTTTATAGTCTCAGAAACCAAATGGAGAGTCAACTAGCTAAGAGTCCACTCCTAAAAAATAAAGCTTAAGAAGAAAAAAAAAAGAGTCCACTCCTATTGGATGACAAGAGATAAAGAACCAAAAAGTCAATAACAAAAATTCACCACTCTGTGGGAGAAAGATAGACAGTATCCTCTTATAAAGATTACTGTCTCAAACCTGATAGAGGGTCAACTATTATTTATTGGAAGCAATTTTATGGCAGTGGGTTAATTCTTACCGAACGTGATCAGCTGGCCTTACCATCATGGAGGCTAAGGCAGTTTCCATTACCCAGGGACCAGGGTTTTGCTCAAAACACTAGTGCAATAGATCAGATCTGAGTAGATGGGAGTCTCGTTTGTATATTA